TGGAGAGCATTTTGTGTGGTCGTTGGGGGCATGTGGTTCTGAATATGGCGATGAGTGTGCAAAATGTTACGCAATTGCATCCTCCCTATTCGCACACGCCCGAAGATCGGAGGCGAATGCCACTTTGACTTGTTTCGTCTTTTAACGACTCTCTGATGACAGTGTTGGGAAAGCAGCGATGCTACTCCGACATGTTTCGTCTAGAAACGATTCTCTGATGACTGTGTTGGGGAAGTAGCATATGCCTGTACGTAATTGGGGGATTTGTTAGTTATTTCGACGCTTTTGGACAATGCTTGACATTTACCACTTTTTCAATAGTTACTTGTTGAAAATCAACAGTCGGAAGCATTGTTATCGATGTGTGGAAATATTTATGATCGATTGGAGATAAAATTATTGAAATTGGTCCAAGGGCAGCTGAGTTATTAACGTTCAAAATCTTTCATAATTCCGTTACATGTTCCGTTTTCGATTTTCACAAAGTGTATCCCCATATAGAAATCACAGACGTAGTCCTATGTCAAAATCTACCATCAGGTAGAACACACAAAGGACCATTATTTAAAATCTCACCTAATTTTCAAGGGATGTGAATCTCACAAGAACGAGGAAGGGGTCTAGGGGAGCGGAATTTACCTTAAAAGTTAGTTAAATCACTTCAAGAAAGCTCAGACTAACATTACACTGGAGTCGCTTTTTACGCGGTTTTTTTTTACACGGTTTTTTTTTACGCGGTTTTTTTTTACGCGGATTTCGGAATTTACGCGGTTTTTTTTTACGCGGATTCCGGAATTTACGCGGTTTTTTTTTACGTGGATTTTGGTTTTTTTTTACGCGGATTTCAGAATTTACGCGGTATATCGCGTTTTACGCGTTTTTTTCTTACACGGTCTTTTTTTACTCGGTTTTTTTTTACGCGGATTTCGGAATTTACGCGGTTTTTTTTTACGCGGATTCCGGAATTTACGCGGTTTTTTTTTACGCGGTTTTTTTTTACGCGGGACATATCACCCGCGTAAAAAGCGACTCCAGTGTAAATATAATTCAATCACTCAACAGAACAGTTTGGACTTCCTTAGGAAGGTATTGAACCGCTTCAGAAAAGGTTGGACTCCGTTTTGGAAAAGTTAAAGCTCGGTTCACTTCGGAAAACTTTCTACACTTTTAGAAATGCTAGATGACCTAAACAGTTAAGCAAGCCAAAGCAGTTTGGATTCAGGTCGGTTAAAGTTGATTCAATTCAGGAAACGTTGGATTCATTTAGGAAAGGCATTAAATCAGGTAATGTGGCCTCCCTCCAGAAAATGTGAAACCAATTCTTTAAAACTTGGGTTCGGGATATGTTGGATCACACTTCAGGAAAGCTTTATTTACTTACTTAATGATCCTGCGCACCTCCAGGGGTGCAAAGCGCCTTTGTGAAAGATTTCCATCCTGGGCGATTACTAGCTTTGGCCTTGACCTTTGCCCAAGTCAAATTTCGATCAACGTTCTTAATTTCACTGTTTAGGCTCCGCCGCCACGAGCCTCTGGGTCTACCTCTGTGGCGATGTCTTGCTGGATTCCAGTCCAGTGCTTGCTTGCAGATTTCGTTTCCGCTGCGCCGTTGTAGTGTTTGGCCGACCCACCTCCACTTCCGTTCACGAATTTCTGTCTCTATCGGCTTCTGATGGCACAAACGATGAAGCTCGAAATTTGAGATCCAATTGTGGGGCCACCAAGCACGAATTATGTACCGCAGGCATCGGTTGATAAACACCTGCAGCTTCTGAGTGTTCTCCGGTGATACACACCATGTTATACAGACTTCACGTTCGAGTTAAAAATTCGGATTTTGGTGCGTCGACTGATCTGATTCGCTCTCCATACATTTCGCCAACTGGCAAAAGCAGCCCTCGCCTTCTTAATCCGTGCACCAGCTACCGTGAAATTGGAACGTTTTTCCGTGTTCCGATTAGGTCTTGTTGACGTTGATGGTTAGACCTGCTTCAGAGGAGCGTTCCACAAGGTCATCGAGCTTACTCTGCATGTCAGAGCGCCGTTGTGCTAATAACGCAACTTCATCAGCCAAATCGAAGTCGTTGAGATGCTCCATGGTAATAGGCTGCCACAGCAACCCACGGTTCGGTATACGGTCAACGGCTCCAACCATGATCTTGTCGATTACGATGATGAACAGTAGCGGTGATAATATACATCCTTGCCTCACACCCGCGATTACCCGAATCGGGTCAGACAAGGCTCCGTTGTGCAACACTCTGCATGAGAAAGCCTCGTACTGCGCTTCGATGAGGTTGACGATCTTATCAGGGACTCCTTTGCGTCTAAGGGCGCCCCACAAGTTTTCGTGGTTTAGTCGGTCGAAAGCTTTTTCGTAGTCAATGAATACCAAGTACAGGGACTCTTGGAACTCATTGACCTGCTCCAAGATGATGCGGAGCGTGACAATATGGTCCACACAGGATCTTCCAGCACGGAATCCTGCCTGCTGTCGTCGGAGAGTCGCGTCGATCTTCTCATGTATCCGATTGAGGATAACTTTACACAGAACTTCGAGAACAATACACAGTAACATGATGCCTCGCCAGTTGTCGCATACAGTTGGATCCCCCTTCTTGGGGAGTTTTACCAAGACGCCCTGCGTCCAGTCGGCCGGAAAAGTCGCGGTGTCCCAGATATTGACGAATAGTTGATGCAACATTTGTGAGGATAGCATGGGGTCAGCTTTGATCATCTCTGCTGATAGGCTTTGTTGGACTTCATACTTCGGATGGCTGCTTCTATCTCCTGCAATGATGGAGCTTTAGTGTTGACCCTTGGCAGATCATGTCGAGATGTTGATGGTTGGTTGACCGTTGAAACTTCGAGAAGTTGTTCAAAGTGCTCCAGCCAACGTTTCAACTGGTCAGTGGGGTCGGTGAGCAACTGTCCAGTCGCGTCTTTCACAGGCATCCTTGCGTTCATCCTTGCCCCGCTCAGGCGTCGTGAAACATCATAGAGGAGGCGGATATCGCCAGTTGCTGCGACCTTTTCCCCTTCATCAGCCAGGGAGTCCACCCACGCTCGCTTGTCCCGTGTACAGGAACGCTTAACTTCCCTCTCTAGAGCCGAATACCGCTGACGGGCCTCGTTCTTGGCTCCTCGGGTCCTTGCTCGCTCTATCGCGGCTTTTGCTTCTCTCCGCTCCTCGATCTTCCTCCAGGTTTCATCGTTGATCCACTCCTTGAAGCTCGTCCACTGTTCTTCTACGCTGCCACCTTCCGGAATATTAGCTGCGCGAGCCTCGAGTTCTTCGACGAACGATCTCTTCACTGCTGGGTCTCACAGTCGGCGTGTGTTGAATCGCCGCCCGAGTCTCTCCTCCCGCCGTTGAACCCGCGCAATGTGTAGGTGGATCTCACCGACCAGGAGATGGTGGTCAGACGCGATGTCAGCGCTGCGTTTATTCCGAACATCAAGAAGGCTCCGTCTCCATTTTCGGCTGATGCAGATGTGGTCGATTTTGTTCTCTGTATATCCATCACGGGAGACCCATGTGACTTTAATGCACTGGGCGATGGGAGCGAATCCTCGATCACCATGTCGTTGTTGCCACAAAACTCTGCAAGCAGCTCGCCGTTCTCGCTCATATCTCCCATCGTCCCATAATGCGCTCATAGTCCGAGTTGTCGGATCCGATCTTCGCATTAAAGTTGCCTGTGTAGATCTTGATATCACCTCTTGGAGTCTTGTTCACGACAGCATTCAGTTGACTGTAAAAGTTCTCTTTGTCCAGCAATTCGGCAGCATCGATTGGCGCATAACGTTGGATTATGGTAAGGTTTCGAACCCGTGTTCTGAATCTCAGAAAAGCTTTGGCAACTGTCAAAAGGATTGAATAACATAACAGAAATGAGTTGGTTGGAAATGCTATCTAACATTTAAACTATCTAAACTTCACGTATGAAGTAACATAAAAACACTTTGAATATAACAGAAATGTTTAGACTCAGTTAGGAAAATGTTGCTGACTTATTCGAAAGTTTGAACACCCTTCAAAAAAGTTCAGACTCAGTTTTGAATCGGCTTTGAAAAGTTTCACCTCAATTCGGAATTTCCTGAATCGTTTCTGATTGCAGCAGATTTGTTAGTTAAGAAATTTAGATCGAATACGAAAATCGGGCGACTACGGTGGGCTGGGTACATTGTAACAATGTCGGATAACGATCTAATGAAAATAGTTCTTGGTAGCGACCCGACTGGAACAAGATGAAGATGTGCAAGGGGGATCGATCAGATTGAAAGCGACTTACCTAGTGAGCTGCCAAACAAGATTAGGAATGATGATCGATGAAATCCGTTATCAGCAACTGAAATCGACTGATCCGATTTCAAGGACCTGGCATGCCGCACCAGTCTAGTACCAATTTAAATCCCAATTTTTAATATTATTATATTTTTTCATTTGTTATTTTGATCCTTGAAATCCTTTCAGTGGTTCAAAAGTTAAGAATTTTTGGAAAAAGTCATTGTTGAAATTAAAAAAACGAAAAACATCGAATGTTTGGACCACCCTAACATAGTAAATGGTTACCCTAATGACAAAATAAAAAAAAATACGGGTCTAATGTTTTGCGATAAGGAACAAAACTACCAACTTTTACGAAATTCTGAGATCCACTATATCGCAATATGTAGAAATTTTCTTACCACATGAAGCAATGTTTGAAGAGAAATTTTGATTTTTTGAAAATCTCTATACCGCAAAACTCTGGCGTGGTGACATCTGTCGGATTCGAAGGTGGAAACTAATACTCAATACAGGAAGGGTGATTTTTTTTTAATTTTCCATTACAAAACCATGGCCTGCATCTACTCTTGCAAGTCCAATTCTGCTATCAATCATACTGTTGTTGTGATTTAGTTGTGATGATTGCTCTCATTCCTTATCAATTCCTGGTTCGATTGACGTTGGCGACCTTCTGATCGCTACACGCAAATCTCAATAAATGCAACCATCCGCAGTCGGTTCAGCATTCAGTTCCTCCGCGATCGTCCCCTGGAAAAGTAGTGCACAATGAAGTTCTTTGTCGCGGTCTTTCTGCTCATCGGAATTGTAAGTAGCTCATCTGAATGTCGTTTCAAGTCTGAACGTTTCGATCCCCCTTCAGCTGTTCCACCACTGCCAAGCGGCTGCCTACACCGCAGACAACTACCGTGACTTCCGTCAGAAGTGTTCGAAAATCCTCGGAACGTCCGCCGAAATTATGCAACAGATCGAGGGCACGAAGGACTACACCTCCGACGACCGGGAGTTGCACTGCCTGGTTCGATGCGTTGGAATCCTGAGTGAATTCTACGACGACGAGACCGGCACCAACTGGGATCTGGTGGCCCAGCAGGTGGAAGGCAAGAGCGGCTTCGAAGAGCACCGGCAAGCGACGACCGAATGCGTCCAGGCTCTGCCCGCGGAGGAAGTCCAGTCGGATGTTTGCCGGAAGTCGTACCTGTCCTTCCACTGTGCCATGAAATCCGCCAAACAGCACATCAAGGATAAGAATTAGTTGTTTCGATTTTGAGTTGTTTGGAATAAAATGTCCGTCTGAGCGAGCGATTATCGATTTCGCTTCGGAGGTGAACGAAAGAGGTGTGAAATCCAATTATTATCATCAATAAATTGAACATATTTGAATCAGTGCACCACCACGATGCATTCTCTGTCGGAATGGGCACGCACTCATACACACACACACACACAGCTACATTTGGGAAACAGTTTCAGAATGTTTGGGTTTCGCAGTGATATGAGCAGCATGACACCTCTTTGCCCTCTCCGTAAATGGAAATCGACGGCACCATTTTAGATCGGTTCAAATGTGGAACTTTGATGGCAGAGCGGATTTAGCACGGACCGGTCTAGCGTGATTGTGTGTGTGTGTGTGTGTGTCCTCCATTAATGGTAATGCAATGGTTTGGTAGTACCTGGGTGAGTTGATGTCAGGTTTTTCCGATTCTCACACGGAAATGGGATTTGGTCGATTTTCAGTGTTGCAGGTCGAAATGATATTTGTTTGCCTATGCAGGAATGGTCGGCATATTTGAGGTTGGCAAATATTAATTGGTGGGAATCGGGGGAGCCGTGGGAGAGGATTCGAATGTTTAAAAAAGGCAAAATCAGTTGCTGTTGGATTTCCCATTCGATGAAATATGCATTCCCGAATCGACCTTTGCCATGCAGCGAAGTGGTAATCGTGGAAAATTTGCAGTTGCTTTTGCTGCATTTGCGGCGGGTGGGATTATATGAAACCGGGTAAGGTCAATCGAGTTCAATAATTAGGTGTTAGTGTTTGATTTGAGATCATTGGTAGCGAACTAGATTTGGCGTCATAGTGGATTTCAATGAACTTAGCACCAATCGGTGCTGCAAAATATCGACCATACACGACAATATTGACAATACGGACAAGTGATCAAGTCTTTTATTTGCAGAAATAAAGGTATACATTCCTCGGTAAAGTTGTTGCTCAGCTCATTTCAAGCAACTTTGTTAAGAAAAGCTTTTTTGTATCTCTTGAATTGACCAATTTAGAGCATTTTTCTATTAGTACTATAGAATCTAAACAAATCAGAGATATGTTATTACTTTTAACTTCTATAAAATAAGCCATATTACTTTGTTAATTTCTAAACTAATACACTACTAGCCATAAGTATGGATTCGCTCAGAAACAGTTACATTTATTATGCTATATCTCGAAATCCTGATTATTTGCAAAGGTGATGTTGTCTTCGGCAAAGTTGTTCAGAATGCCAAGGGCGTCTGGAAGGGAGACGGTTAGGTTTGGAATTATGAAGATGCTACCAGGAAGACCGACTGCTTTACGAGTACATTAAGAATAAAGTCTTGTGAAGTTCTACCACTTTGCACGGTATGAAAAAAGTACCCAAAAGTTAGTTCTTTTCACTCATCTCATTTCTTGCGGAGCTAGGTCTCAAATTGTGCTCAAGGGATTAAAGACAAGTGTTTCATATGTAAGATGTAGGAGAACTGGTTGAATTTCTGCCCCTAGCGTTGAGTTCAGAAACAGTCAGAAAAGAACTTCCGAAGCCGAGTTGAAAAAGTTCACGATATTTCACGAAGTTCAACAAGGTAAAAGTTCGCGAGTCATAGTGAGTTTTGGTGAATATTCTCAACACTGCTTCTAAGGGTGAGATAATCGCCATCCCAAGGATCTCTTCTCATATCATGGAGTAAATTGAGCAAACTTGTTGAATATTTTAAGCGATTAAACAAGACTTGTTTGTAGACTGCTATCAAGATGGTTGCAGTTTCCTTTTCATGGCACTTACCGCGATTACAATTTGTGATTTTAGAAAAAAATGTGGTGCCTTCCCGTTTTTGGCAACCGCGATTTCTGTCTTTTTATAAACATGTACACTACCCATCTAACATATCGCGTATTTCTGTTGTTCATTACATTCCGAGTGAAATTCGAGAACGTAATTTTATTTGAATAGCTTGTTTAACCAGGTCTTAAACAATCGTCACGTCGGTCATAGCTTGTTATGATTGTCTGAACCATGCGTAAAGAGAAAATCGAAACATTGAACGTTGCGTGAAAGTGGATCTTAATGAAGGCCTAAGTACTCTTTCGTAGCTTTTAGTTTTAGGATTTCACGTCGGTTGCAGTGGCTTGCTTACTGAGGAGAAAAACGCGGTCCCAGATCCTTTCATATTAAAAATATTAAAATATCGCTTGTTAATCGTGTATTTTGTAAAACTTTTCGTTGTCGTCGGTGCCGTGTTTGAATAGTTATAAAAACTTGAGTAACGCTATAATGTGATATGAGAGCCTCGGTGGCCTTAGAGCAACCGTTTTTGCTTACTGAGCAGAACGTCATGAGTCTAATCTCAAGTCCATCCACATTCAAGATTCGTCAATGATTAAAAAGGAGCTCGTCTGCCTAGTGGCAAACGTTTTTGCTTTCTGAGCAGAAGACCGTGGGTTCAATCCCAAGCTCCTTCGCGTTATACGATCGTTAGGACATCAATTCAGCTTATCGTTTACCAAAACGAACCCTGCTGCTAACCCAACCCTCTTACCCAACATCCCTGTGATTCCTCGTGGAAGTGCAGAGGACTCCTCGGCTTCCATCAAAGCGAGTGTCACGTCAACACATTCCTACCCATTCCTTTCTTGACCTGCGTTCAGGCGCGGCTGGCGCTGGTATTGCCTAATTCGAGATCACCAGTATTTACACATTGAGGATGATTGCTAGTCCCAAGCATCGTCTATTGGTTCTCTTTGTAATTACAGCTGGTCTGGCAATAACAGAGTAGCAACCGTGGGCGGTCAATCATGCTTATGCTCATGCTCATGTACACTACCCATCTAACAATTTTGGCTGCAGACTAGCTGATACAACCGAAAAATTACGTTATGCGTCTAATTTGCGCCTGTATAGGCTGGTCTGCAGCTAGAACTGTTAGTTGGGTAATACATATCTGAGGAAAGTAGTAGCTGATGAGATCGTGTTGACAAAACCATGTAGACACTGCAACTGGAATTTGTTTGAAAATTACTGGAAAATCAGGGAATATCAGGGGATGTTGTTTTCTTCATCGAGTCGACACCCTGTCATCGTTCAGAGGCGACTTCCGATACCCGAAAATGTCAAATTGCTTAGAGTATAGGTATTTCCCGAGAAGTATTTGCCACTTTCAAAAACCTGAAGTCACCTTTACTTGTCGTCCTTATTCAGAAAATTATCACATTGTAGAGCAGTGTTGGGAAAATATCAAAAAATCAAATCTCACCAACGCCCAAGATCACGCTTGATTTTCGTAGACAAAAATCAACAAGCAAACAACTGCGGTTGATTTTGCAAGCTGTGATATCGCAGCTCGGAATCTCAAGCTAACAAAACTCACCAACTGCAAATCTCACCAAACTGTGGTGAGATTGAGTTCAATGATTTTTGCTTTACACCCGAATGCAACCGAAACTTCCATAACGGCTTGCAGCAGTCCCTTCGCGTCTGCCATCGTTGAAGCTTAAAAAGAGATAGCAAACTATGCTTTCTCTTTCTAAGAAAACGATGTGCAATGGAATCATTTTTGTGTCGTGTCAACTCTCAGCTTGATTTTTGCACGTTGTGAATAGTCTCGCAATATCAAAGGAGCTTGTAAAATCAATATCAAGTATGATATTTTGTTCCAATAGCACGCGTGATATTGCGAGCCCATGAGAGCGGAAAAATATCAATTGATTTCTGATTTTGCCAACACTGTTGTAGAGTATTTTACACTATAGGAATCCGGAAGTAACCATGGATTAAAAGTTTGCGTCAGATATGGATTTCCGACCTCTACGTGACTTTCCAGGAAACGAAAATATGCATTTTGTGGTTGATCTGACTTGTTATCTTAACCCGGATGTCACCATGATTAATTCCAAAATGGCTCTGGTTCAAACTCTGGTCGTCGGCCCCGTTATTGTACTTGTTGGATGGCATATAGACGTCACCCCGCTCCCAAAAGTACCCAAAACTGGGTCGGCGTCAGTATTTCCCACTTTTTCTGAAATCGCAAGCCGCCATCTTGGGTTTAAAAATCGCGTCGGTAACCGATTTTCGGACTCTAGACGTCATCCCGATTCCCGTGAACAATCAACCAAAGTCAGAAAAACTGCGCTTCAATCCGAAAGTAAGTTCATTTGACAATAAAAGACGAAATGAACACAAGTCAAGCCAAAACAAACAGCTTAATAAACTGATCGAAAGTGGTTCTGTTGATGTTGAAGGGGATCTGCTCGAAGAGAAGACAGAATGACTTTCACTTGAAAGTGATGGTTGACAGCTTCGTTGTCGCTTGACGATTTTCGATTGAAATTGACTTTGTTGGGCTGTGTACTTGGAACATCTATAAAGTTGCAATCTGAAGATCTCAGAATTTTCCTGAGGATTTTGGAACTTCCATCAAGGTTAGGTTAGGTTATCTTCATTAGCGAGACTTTCAGCCAGAGGCTCGTTCATCTCTTGACGAATATTGGGGAATCCAGAAGGGGTCCCCCTCTAGTGAGAGAGTTTGAAATAGCGGTGTACCTCTCACCCCAGTAGGCCTGGGTTCAATCCCAGTCGGCGCCGCCGGGATGTTCTGAGGCATAACATCTCTGATCACGCCTTCCTTCGGATGGGAAGTAAAGCCGTTGGTCCCCGGTTCATGAGTTGATGGGTCGATAGGTAGGGTCCAGGTGTGGGAGCTGCCTACCTGACACGTCGGTAGCATTGGTGCTCAGCACAGAAAAAACAAACCAAAGGAAAAAAAAAAAAGAAATAGCGGTGGGGAGCCAGAAGAGACTCCCTAGTATAGAGTTAATGAGGTGGGGTATCCAGAAGGGACCCACTAATTAAGAGGAGTGGACAGTCCAGAAGAGACCTCCCTGGTAACAGAGTATTTGATAATCAGAGTTGGCTGTCGCGGTGCTGTCGTAGTTAGTAGATGTTCCTGGTTTGGTGCATTTGATCGGCTATTTTGTTATGGTGGTGTATTCAGAGTCCGTTATAGAAGTTGGTCCTGGTTCGATGACTTCCCTCAAGTATTCACAATTTTCCGAATGTTCATGAAACTGCCATGACATTCTTAGAACTTTCCCGAAGCTCTCCGAAATTCACAAAAGATCTATGAACTTACCTGAAGTTTGCTGAGGTTTTTTGAAGGTTTTGTAAAGTTCCTGTAATTTTCTAGGAGTTAATGGAGCTGTCGAAAAGTTCTCTGAGCTTCAACTAAGTTCTCGAAAATTTCCGAAGAACTGAACTGAATTTCTCGGAACCAACCCTGAAAGATCTTTGATCTTCCCCAAAGTTCTGGGCATTCCTGTAGTTCTGGGAACATTGCTGAAGTTCAAATTTGTCTGACGATCATGGGACTCTTTACTTTTTTGAAGTTTTCTGGGCTTTGGTCTTGGAACATCTATAAAGTTATGCAATCTGAAGGTCTCATAATTTTCCAGAAGTTCTTGGAACTTCCATCAAGTTTTTACACGTTTTCGGATGTTAATGGAACTGCCATTCTCAGAACTTTCCTGAAGCTCTCCAAAAGATCTATAAACTTACCTGAAGTTAGCTGAGTTTTTTCGAAGATCTTGTAAAATTTCTGTTTTCATAAAGCTGTCGTGAAGTTCTCTGACCTTCATATATGTTCACGAAATTTATTGAAATTTCATAGAACTGAAATGAATTTCTTGGAAACAATTCCTAAAGATATTTGATCTTCACCAAAGCTCTGGACATTCGAGTATCTCTTGGAACTTTCCTTAAGTTTTTGAAACTTTTCCTAACGCTTCGGATATTCATTAAAGTTCTTGGAACATCACTATAGTATTCAAAATTAATCTAAAGAGTTCGGAATGTTCTTATTTGTCCTAGAAATCTATGAATTTTATCAGATTTTCTATTCAATTCCTGTTATTTTACTGAAATTAATGGAACTTCCCTGCTCTGAAAAAACTAAACTATGTTTAAATGTTTGGATTATGTCTTTATTTTTTTTTAATTCCGTGCAATTATCTACAAGCGCTTGTTTTCATCACCGGGGGCTTAGCAATATTTTTCCACTTCAAGAGCGCCAAGTGAAAATTGAAATGTTCAAATTCTTGCATTGCCGATTAAAGCCTAGAAATCCATGAGCATTAGACTGATGCAAAATTTTAGATTTTCGCTGCACAGTGCTCAAACGGTTGCAAATCGGTTCCAGATTAATCTCCCAAAATTTCAACTCATTTGGTACGAAACCATTTGAAGTTTATATGGAGATTACTATGGAGAAAC